AACCAATCGTCCACCCGAGCAACAACCCAGCACCGACCAGTCCCAATCCTAAAGCAAAAACAATAGCATATTTTCCAGCATCCAACACATCCCGGGCCTTCTTGGCCCGTTTCCGGTTCGAACACTTGAGCCACCTGCTTTTCTGCATTTTTCTATTTCCTGAGGTCTCACAATTAGACGAAGTTACCTGAGACACAGAGGATCCAGACTGATCTTCGCTGTTCTTGAATTGGAAATACATATTCTCCAACTCCAGAAAGTGGACCCACTGTTTGTAGGCGAATATCTGGGACGCCTGTCTTAGTACGAGCCTGACAACATGCTCCTTCTCAGAACATGCTCGTTTCATGACCTCCTCAGCTTCCCTGGCTCGTGTCTGAGAATGACGTAATGCTTCTAGAAGCTGAGCTCTGCTTCTGTCATTCTCACTCTCACTCTCCCCCGTTTTCTTGTAGATTGGGCTGTCCCTGAGATTATAAGGCGATGACTCACAATACATTATTATCGCTACTGTTCTGACCAAAGGGTTAAACGAGATAAATAATAATAATAATAATAATAATAATAATAATAATAATAATAATAATAATAATAATAATAATAATAATAATGATGATGTTTGAACATTTGCGAAAGCATCGGCCATTTCGAAAGCAACTTTAGATCTCAACGGATACAAAAATGCTAATGCATACATCAATCACAAAACCGAACCAATACGTCTAAACTGCACACATGTTAACTGAAGTCCTAAAAGCATGATTTTAGTACACAAATCATACATGACTATCTGAAATGGCACTTAAACAACTGAAAATACAAAATACGAGCAATATATTCATATTACCTTGATATCCTGTCGACACCTAACACTAACCGAACATCAGCTGATTTCCTAAGGTTCTGGCAAGAATATCCTGCAAGCGAACATCCTTGTCTAGAATCATGACTGTGATGCTCGATGCCAGCCTTGTGAACTAGTAACGAGGTTAAACTCTCATCACGACTAAAACAACTCATATCTTCCTTGACATGAGCATTTTGAGGCCTCGGGAGGTCACAGTTATCCAAAACCTCGTGCGACCTTTGCGCTACCAACAAAGCCAACTCCTCAGTATCCGCCGTTCGCCACCAAGGCACATTGTTCTCCGAATCAAAACAAACGTCATCGGAATCTTTAGAAAATTCACAACTACCAACATTCGAGTCTCCTATTTTTTCAAAACCCTCTTTAAGCAATTCAAGATCTCGACTCTCCACAAGAGTAGTCAACTCTTCGCCTGCCATGACCTGCCGGTACCCATAATTGGGCTGTGTTTGTAGCCACCATCTTGAGCTTGGGGATAAACTGGTAGAAGCAGGATTCAGGTTGAACGGGAGAAAGAAAGTGGTGGGAACATCTTCTTGGCTGTTGTCTGGATTTACAGGTTCTGTTTCAGGGTGTTTAACCGAAGGGGTTACGGAGGGACAGCAAGCCAATTTGGGGGCTCGTTTAGCGTCCTCTTGGACTAAGCATCGGTTGGCAGTTCTCTGCCAAGCGGCCCTAGCTTCCGCAAACGCCATTATTCATCCATTTTCGTTTTTTAACAGGAAATCCTCTGACAATCAAGATTCCAAATAACATGTGAAAAATGATGCCGGTTTTTTTTTCTTTTATATGAATTCATGACCAGCACAACCAAATGAAATCAAAAGGCCAATGATGTACAGATACATTAAAAGGGGTAAAAAGACAACACCCACATTTCTCTCTAAAGTTGCCTAAAATCACATGAATATGCTAATTTTTTTTCATAGTTAAGAAACTCCCCACAATCCAATCCATACACAATCAGCAAAAGTTCATAACCCGAAAACCAATCAATCAAAAAAAGAAAGAACAACAACAACAAGAAGAACTCGAGATTCGACACCTCACACTACACACAAACTGCAGTGCAAGTCCAATAATTTGTCACCGTTCGATCGAACGGTGACAAATCGGTGACTTCACGGCAGTTGTGTATTGATCTTGTAAGGATCAGCCAGCTGCCAAATGAGCATAAATCAAAATCAAGAAACAGAAAGGGACACAGCAGCCCCACCTGAAATTCTCACACGCAAAACCCATACAACACACAAATTAATCGAATTACCCATTAGCGACACAAGAAGCTCTGCAAAAAATTCGTCTTCTTTAAAGCTGAAAAATTCAGATAAAGAAGAGACCGATAATCAAAACACAAGTAGCTGTTAGAACCTGGGAAACTTCGAACGCCAGTGGATATAAAGGAGACAGAGATGCGCAAATGGGTTTGGATCCAAGAGAAATCCAGTGGGCTGAGCTCCGAAAAACCTCGTTCTGCTGCCTGAGAGAAGGAGATGGCTTTTAAGATTTGATTTTACCTTTTGATTTTTCTGTTATAAATGCGCTGTTGTCGGTTAATTTTTGTCTCTGTACGATAATTGAATATATACTTCATTCTTATATTTTTGGATAAATATTTTTCCAAAAAAAAAAAGCTAAA